ATATGTAGAAAATGCTTTTATTTTTTAAATTTTAATCATAAATAAAATATATAAACTTTGGYTTATAAAATAAAAGTTTGATAACAATTATTTACGTGAAATTAAAGCAAGCAAAAAGCATTGGCCATTTAAGCTTATTCAAGATTCTCTTTATATTTATTATTTTTTCTGCTTGTTTTCTATCAATACGTTTATGAGCAGACAAAAAAAGGTATGTTCCGCTGTTTAGTTTTGACAAACCACATTTAAAAGGCAGGCTTCAGGTTTTTGGATAATCATGAGTGTCTGAAACAGTTTATGCACAATTCAACTAATCTCACGTAACCCTGTATTTGATAGTTAGACAAACATATAAGAACCTAATTCGAACTCGAACTCGAACTCGAACCAATCACTACTTAAGAACAAACCCAATATCTTATCAGTTGAGTTGCCCCTAAAAGGTAAATGTCGGTTTCAAGTTCTTAAAAGTTTTAAAGCTGATTGAACTACAAATACCTAACCAAATCTATCTTTTCACAACCACGTTGCCGTGACCTTTCCAATTTGTGGGTCGTAAAACCCAAATAAATACAWAACAGGGTCCAGAAATAATGAAATGCATGTACACTCCATCTCTACATTAAAGAATAAGAAGATTATTTACGTAAATACCCTAATTTGTAAAAAGGTTTTGSTTTCTTTTAGGTTTACAAGTAAGAATCCGTCACTATGAATTATTTCAARTTATTTAGGTATATAATCTTAAATGAGATTTTGCATGTGTAAGTTGTAACGTGTCAAACTAATTTATYAATATTGCCAATTGCTACTAGTGATGGCCAAACCAGCCTGGGACCGCCGGAGGACCGGGACCGGTTGAAGGACCGCCAGTTACAGCCCGGTTACACGATCCGGGACCGGTTTTTGGCTATCACTAATTGCCACATTGGATCAAACTCAAAATCCGAAACACAAAGTTMAAAAATACTGCCTAAATAATAAATTATATAAAATTAAAAAAAATGTACAAGATATATGGTGCGGTTTGAACAGCGGTTTAATAACTCAAAACTGCAAACCGCACCGCATAATGCTGTTTGGTAAAAATGCAAACTACAAACTATAACGTGAAAGTTTTAAACCACGTTTTATAGTGCAGTACGGTATGAACGGTTTGTACGGTTCGGATGGACACAAAGTGTTGTTCCCTTTTTGGGTCAAWTTTAGTCGATGTGGCCAGCCCATTAAAGAATCCAGCCCAATTTGAGTGTAATACAGACGCCGAAACACAAAACCCTTGACGCTGCTACAATTGGATTTTGATCGATCCCATCCCCATCGGTAAAACCCACCAAAACCCCTCATTCTTCACCTGTGCAACACTCATATCTCCGTCTCCTTCTCCTTCTACGTCCATCAATGGCGTCTATTGCCTTCAGAAACTCTAATTCCAGACATCTATTTAGACTATCTCCTCAATTACGCTCCGGTTGTCGAGGATCCGTCGYATCAGCTTCTGGTTTCCCAACCATTGAGTCATTTTCTGGAAATGATAACGCCGTAGCTCCTAATYCATGGTGGAGATCCATGGCCACTTTTACACGAACGTAAGTTGTTCATATGGATTCATGTTTGTATTAGGATTCTATACAGATAATGTATTTGTATGTGAATTAGGTTGTAGGTTGGTTTAACTTGTTTATGCGCTTTGCGAGGTTATTATTTGATCGTTTAGTTTGAGTCTAATTGTTTGAATGATTTAGTCGGTCTCTTATGCAGATCTTTTCTCTTTTGTATAATCAGTTGTTGCAATGGTGATTTTTATTATGGGTTTTGATGTCAAAACCAATTAGGTTTGAATTTCAGGATTAATGTTTATTACATGTAGAAAAGATGATTATTGTATTGAACTATATAACTAATACTACAAATTTAACAGGTGCTTTTTAAAATTTGTTAACACATTGAAGTTAAGAGACAAGCTGCAATGACTTTTGTATATCATTATTTGAAATTGTCTAAAATACCCAATTAGGCCTTCTTTCATCATTTTATAGCCCATCTTTCGAGAAATTGACCGAAGTTGCCGGCTATTACTCAAGTAGCACGAATGAGTAACCCACTTTTCCCGTTAAAATAATCAGAAAWATTAGACRTTAAGCAAGTTGTGTRAGTGCTATATGCGTAATGTCTAATTTTTCGAGAGGTGGCTACAAAGTGAAGAGGGGAGAACTGATTGACTATTTTGGACAATTTCCAATAATTATGTGGTGATACAAAAGCCATTGCAGCTCGTCTTCTAACTTCAAATCAATTCCAATGTGTTAGAAATCYTGTCAAATTTGTAGTATTAGTTATATAGTTTAATACGATGATCATATGTTCTACATATAATCAACATTAATYCTGAAATTCAAAMCTAAGCGGTTTTGACATCAAAACTCAGAATAAAAATCACCACCATAGTGATTTGTGTTATATAAAAAGAAAAGATCTGCATAAGAGACRACTATTTCTGACATGTAAAGACTTGCCTGAAAATGTGGTCTGTTTATAACAGTGTCACACATAGATTATGATACAACTTGGGAAATATGTGATTGGTTGGATACCCATTTTAACAAGCTTGAYATCTAGAAAATTAAAGAACTCTCTTTGCGTTTTTTTGTATGKCGTGATTTATTACATTCAGAAAACCTCATGTTAATGTTGGAACAATTGGACACGTTGATCATGGAAAGACGACACTTACGGCTGCAATCACAAAGGTTGGAWTGGTTGAATGCTTTTTTAATCTGAGAAATAATTATATGTTAGCTAAGTTATGTGCTTTCTTTAGGTACTGGCCGATGAAGGGAAGGCGAAGGCTATTGCCTTTGATGAAATCGATAAGGCTCCTGAAGAGAAAAAGAGAGGAATCACAATTGCGACGGTTCTTTATCATTCCATTCCTCTCAGTTTGATGCAGTCTTAACCATCGATGGTTCCACTAATTGATTCGTGTCTTCTTTTTCTTGTTTGGTTATGCAGGCTCATGTGGAATATGAAACCACTAAAAGGCATTACGCTCATGTGGAYTGTCCTGGACACGCTGATTATGTTAAAGTAAGACCTTCTTTTTGTTTCAGTTCCACCTGCATACWTTGGTGCATGTAAATTAACCAGCTACTATAAGACTAGGCGATTTTTGCACATTTTGGTGCATTTATATTGTACGAGAAGTTGGTTGGATGTAATTTTCTACACAATCAGAAGTGGGGGTTTAAACACCGTGATGTCCTGTCTCTAGTTAGACTTTGGGGTTGTTTGTTTACCTCTTAATAGTTCCATTAAGAGGCAGCCTCTGAATCGTGAAGAGGTGAATCTTGTTTGGCAAAAAAAAGTCTGCCTCTTAATGGTTCTAAAACCCTCTGAAAGTGGGTCTTCTTTAACCATTCAGCGCCTTMATTTCATTGTAAATAATTACCAAACAATTATATTTCACTTTGYACTATATCATGAGAGCCTCTTAATCATTCTGATCACTTAATCATTATGCACCAAACCATTCAGCAACTGCYAAACATCCCCTTTCTTGAGAATTTGGAAGGTTCGGTGACTTAAGAGCGCCAACTACTWAAATTTGTAGGATATTTTTTTGCTGTTATATGTGAGGTCATGTAAAAATATCTCACAACCTAGTATTCTTGTTTTATTTTAGTTGCTAGAAAACCATGGTGATGCTTTTTAGCTTCGTACAGTTTGGTTGTGTTGTCTATTTTTGTTTTGCCCATAATGTTCTCGCCCTTGTAAACTGTATCACCCGTTAATTATTTATGTGTGTGATTTCAAAATATAATTTATGTTTTAGACTATAATATATGAGAATTAAAAGTCGCGATAAAGATTAAAGGTAGCTAGGCAGTCCAGTGATATTCTAGCTTTTTTAGGCTTGAGGTGTACACGTAAGCGGTGTTCATTGCAACGTATAAAATATGCGTATCTTTTAGACTACATTATTTTAATAAAATTACTTTTGTAAATGACCAATTTCACATTTTTATTGGGACATTACTTAGAAAGAATTGGAGAATGTACCTCCAAGATGAAAAAAAGTAGTTGATCCCTGCTTAATTTTTCGAATGCTTAGTTTATCAGTTAGTTGCTAATTGACGAGGCTGGGAAAACTCAACACATAGTAAGTGGTCGTAACTAATCGAGGTTTTTAGTATGAAAATTTTGTTACCGAATTGAMCTTGAACAGATTTTTTATCGGTTTAATCATGTGAAATCCTTCACATCTATGGGTTTTTGTACACTCATTGCAGTTTCTTGATGGATTTGCTTAATTTGTAGAACATGATCACTGGAGCTGCTCAAATGGACGGGGGAATTCTGGTGGTCTCTGCACCTGATGGACCCATGCCACAAACAAAAGAGCATATCCTTCTTGCACGACAGGTTTCTTTCGTTTTCAGCTGGTTGTACCGTGAATTTTAAATCGTYACGGATGAGTTTTATGCCATTGATCGTTTTTTTATATTGTAAAGAAGTATTGCTTGCCATCCTCTTTCTTTATATGGTTAAAAGTCATCCATGTTTAAGCTACTTAAGTTTTTGGCATCCATTTAAAARCCATTGTGACAAATGGTTTTATTCCATCTAGGACTTGGCCTGTTTGTTAGCTGCTTAATGAGCTTAACGAGACTCGCGGCTTATTCGGTCAGCTACACATGACTGTTTGGTAGTGGCTTAATATAGAAARTGGCTTATTCAATAAGCTTCTAGGGGGGAGCTTTATGAAGAAAGCCAAGTTTTTTGAAAACCTGCCCCTCCCAATTAAAATCCACGGTTCTTCCATCTATGAAAAACCCTCCCAAGTAAAAACTTTCCCACTCTATACAGACTTATTAATCCACACAGACARCTTTDTCCATACAAGACTTGATGAAAAACCAACCAAACAGCCYCTTATTGTCACATYCGGGTRCACTTAATCTGTGGTACTGTGCAGGTGGGTGTGCCATCACTCGTGTGTTTTCTGAATAAAGTTGATGCGGTTGACGATCCCGAGTTACTAGAACTCGTGGAACTAGAGCTTCGAGGTAATACATGACCTTTGTTACTAGTTTTCTTATTCATATTTTAGAGTTTGGTTAATTAATTTATGACRTTTTTGATGTATTTCAAATAAGTTTCTGACTGTGGCAGAGCTTCTTAGCTTCTACAAGTTTCCGGGGGATGAAATTCCCATTGTACGAGGTTCAGCTTTATCGGCTTTACAAGGCACTAATGATGAAATTGGAAAAAATGCCATTCTAAAGTTGATGGAAGCTGTAGATGATTACATTCCTACACCTGAACGCCAAAAGGAGAAGGCATTTTTAATGCCGATTGAAGACGTTTTCTCAATTGCGGTATTTACAATGATTTCGAAATAAGTGTCTGCATTTGTATTTTAGTTGGTCCCAAAATAAGTGTCCACTTTCAAAAGTARGTGCATATTCTGATTATTTTCTAATTCTATCTTTAATTATGAAATGGATAAATCATAAATTCATTTGTCCCTATATTATTAAGGGTATAATTGTCATTTAGTTGATTAAAAAGTGTAATAGTTATGCATTTTTAAAACTTTGTGCCTCTTTCATCGTGGACAATCTTGGGACGGAGRGAGTTTTATGTCAGTACTTTTCTTAGGCATGATCGTCTGAATCTCAGAATGATGTTCTAATTTTTTCCAAAAGAAACATACATGGCATGCCGATATACCTTTTACGATTTTGTTTCGTTTGTAGGGGCGTGGTACTGTTGCCACTGGTCGTGTTGAACAAGGGACGATTAAAGTTGGGGAGGAAGTTGAGATTATGGGGTTGATGCAGGTGAATTTTTTTGGCATTTTTTTATAAATTATGTGACATTTATATACAGCAAAACTCACACACACACTTCTCATCTTTGGTGAGACTTAAACCCTTACCTTACCTCCACGGCGGTTGGGATACACCGCTAACCCAGATACTGCCGGGTGAATTTTGGTATTTGTTYGGATATGTTTGTCTGAATAATCAGTTTGTGTTGGAGTGTGTGCTTAATATTAATCCTTTTACTTGTAGGGTTCGAAAAAAACTACGGTTACTGGTGTTGAGATGTTCAAAAAGAGTTTAGATCATGGAGAAGTAAGTGATTTGGCTTTTAGAATATCTTTGCTAATTGCTACCAAGCTTCCATATGACATTGACTGGATCGTTTTTTTTGTTCTGCTAGGCTGGTGATAATGTCGGTCTCCTTTTGCGTGGTATAAGTAGAACTGATATCCAGCGAGGACAGGTAATTGACGTTTTATGAACCTACTTAGGGTATAGCTGATAAGCTGGCTGTTAGGCTAATAAACTAGCTGATTAACTGGTCATGTTTGATGAAAACTAGCTTATAAGCTACATGYCAATGTAAATGAAAAAAAATACCAGGGCATAAATGGGAAAAAAAAAAGCGGAAAAAGTCCCCTAGAGCTTATTGAAACAGAACGTTTTGAAAAGCTAACATATGGCTAACTAAAAGGGGTTTTTTCAATAAGCTCAGCTATTTTCTTCCCTTTTTTCCAATTTTCTAAATCTATTCTYTCATTTATTTTAATTCTGTTGAATGCATTTCATGTAGTTATATTAATTTTTCATTCTTGATTTATAATGAATTTTTATTTTCTGCCGTGTAGCTCAGGGACACATCTAGTTCAAATAAATGGAAATATATATATATACACACAAATACACACTGGTACAAACGAGAACAAAATAAGAGAACACAAAATGGTCAAATCACGTTCCGTTATCACATGTGATTTCAGTGCAAAATCACATGTGATTTGTCCTTTTTCATTTTCTCTTATTTTGATCCTCCTGCTATATGTATGCATCTTGATTAATGAGCTTTTTGTTTCTGTTACCATCTTGCACAGGTGATTGCAAAGCCTGGTAGTGTAAAAACGTACACRAAGTTTGAGGCTGAAATCTACGTTCTTACAAAGGATGAAGGTGGTCGTCATACTGCCTTCTTTTCAAACTACAGACCTCAGTTTTATTTGAGGACGGCGGATGTCACTGGGAAAGTGGATTTGCCTGAAAGCGTAAAGATGGTTATGCCTGGGGACAATGTCACTGCTGCTTTCGAACTAATCACGCCAGTTGTTCTTGAACCAGGTGYGTTCTAATACTAATTTATCTCGTTATTATCCTATATTTAAGGCTTTAATCTCATTATTATTCTATAAGTGTATACGATAGCTTCTTGCAATATTAACCCCAAATATAATTTCAATGATTTTTCTGCTAAATAATAAAATTTAAAGACCCCTTATATCGGTAAGCGTCACTGTCTTTCTTCCCATGTATACAGTCTTTTGGTAATCTGTTTACTCGTTTTAGCAGTAAACCAAACCAAACAAACCTGGTAATGGTATATCCCACCAGAATGTGGGGTCGTTTTTTTTGAAGGGGGGTGGGTACTCGAACCTGGCCTCCATTCCGAAGAGTAGAGCGACTGTTTCCGTGAACACCCCCACTCCTCAGACGTGTGCAAAATGTGGTAATAAATCGGAAAAAAACGCATACAAGAAGTATTGAAAAAGAAGGAACTTGGCATTGCTGCAAAAGTAAATATGAGTWAGGGGTAAGCTACAAAAAAACTAATCGACAAGCGTAGAAAATATACMAATGGAAGCAAGTACACGAAAGTGTAATCAAGGTAGGAAGGACTACACCCCCCTAGACTACCTAGTATTTCATTGGGTTTATCTGGTGGCTCACTAAACCMTATGCAAGGTTCTTAAAAGCAAAAGGTGAAGTGGCTTGTAGGAACTACCATTGTGGAGAGATAGAGGGTTCTTACAAGAACCTCACCTCCTTTCGAGTTYTTATACAAGAACCTTGGTTCTTGTGAAGTTTGTGTAAAGTGAYAATTTTCTAGTTCTTTTTATATATCTTATTAACTTTATATTTATTAATATTATATATATATATAATAATTATTGATGTTGAAAAAAGTACATGGGACCCACAAAAAGGAGGTTCTTATAAGAACTACTGGACTTTTATGTGAGCTCTTAATTTGATGGGTTGAAAGTGAGGTGGCAACAAAAARTGCAAAAATGAGGTTCTTATAAGGACCGCTCTAAGAGCATCTGCAATAGGAGGTTCTTATAAGTCATCAAGATTTTTTGAGTTYGTCTTTTGATTATTGTGTCATGTTATTTATTAGTTTTTCTATATATTTTCGACGTATATACCCACATTGCGGTTGTTTACCAAATGCTTACCGGTTGAATATGGCAAGAACCGATAATCTTACCTAGTAAKAGGCATGGAAACAACTGAAGTTCTTTCCAGTAAGTGAGGGAGAAAACTCTTACTTGGTTAGCACTTACCAGGTAACAAATGCTTRCAAACAATTAATTTTCATAGCGGAGAATGTTATCCGATATGGTAAATGAAGGTGGTGACTGTTGCCGGTAAGCGTTTACCGGGTAAGCATTTGGTAAATGRCACCTTAGCAAAAAGTGGGTTCTTGTTTGTCAATACCATAATGAAGTTTTAAGCAGCTTCTAAATTTGTTGAGTTCTTGTCTTGATTATTGTGTCAAATGTTATTTATAGGCTTATATATATATATATATATATATATATATA